TTCCTAGCTGAACTGTTCATGAATCGATTTGAAGCAAATGCAAAAGAAAAATTCGAGTATTTCCCTAGGGTCTGGATTAGATATGTCGATGATATTTTTGCTATTTTTGATACGAAAACCACAGATATAGATAACTTTATTTCAAAATTGAATAACTGCTTCCCCTCTATCAAATTCACTTATGAATGCGAAAATCAAGGCGAATTACCTTTCTTAGATGTACTTGTGATCAAAAATAGCGAAAACAACTTAGAATTTGATGTCTTTAGAAAAGAAACTAACACATTTAGATACATACCTAATGACTCCAATCACTGTTTTCAGCACAAAATGGCAAGTTTAAATTTTCTAGTACACAGATTGATTTCATTTCCTCTCAGCAAAGAAAGATTCGATGCTGAAAGAAATGTTGTTTATAAAGTGGCTGGCGTCAATGGGTATGATATCAAAATAGTAGATAAATTAATACGTAGACATAAATTTAAGTTAACACTTCGATATTCTACGACTTTTCAAGCGGATAAAAAGAACTCTAGAAGAATCCCAATCCCGTACGATCCCAAGTATACGAAGAGACTTGATAAGGTTTTTAAAGACTTAGGTTTTGAAAGCGTTTATCAGTCTGGGTCAAAATTAGGCAATTTATTAGGCAATCCGAAAGATAAAGTGGACACACTTGAAAAGTCGGGAATATACGAAATAAGTTGTAATGATTGTGATAAAACATATATAGGCCAAACCAGGCGACCCATAAAAACAAGGTTCAAAGAACACATAGCCCATTTGAAATATGGCAGGTTAGATAAATCTCGTGTAGCCGAACATATGTTCAATCACAATCATAACACACATATTACTAACCTCAAATTAGTTAAGCAAGTTAATAACATTAGAAAACTAGACGCATATGAAAGCTTAGAGATATTTAAGAATAGTAATAGAGTAATGAATAAGGATAATGGACCTATTCCATATAGCCCTCTATATAGTTTAGTAAAATAAAAATTTAGATTAACATGTGAACTCAACCATGACAAACATTAACTTGACGGTTAGTTTTTTTCACAGTTGGGTGAACATATACCTAGTATATAAGCAGCACACTAGAATAGGATATTTAGTTTTAATCTTCTCCTGAAGATGCTAACATAGTTAGCGAAACACGTGTCGAGGCGTTAAAAAAAAAATCGGTTTGATTAGTGGTAAAACAGTGTAGTGTACTACAATTCCTGAATAAAGAATTTTCAATGCAGTCCTGATTGAGATAACGAGGGAATAAGTATCTATATCTATTTGCTCTCAGTGTCCACCATAACATTGAAACTGACTTGATTGTGATTTTCCAACCGTATAGAAAATTCAACGTTTCTGTCACATTTTTTCCGTCCCAAGTTGAAACATTCAAGTTTGTGAATAGGATAGACAAAGCATGAATTCTTGGAAATTGATCGAATTATTTGGATTCAATGAATCAAAAAAATTGTGCATTTTCAGGATGAAATTTGCTGTGCTGGATGCTTCTGTAGGTGAAACATCAAACTGCATGGCTACTTCCACGGAATGGCTGAAAACTTGTGATGCCAGTTTCACTTTCATTTTTCGAAAGTTATTGGTGTGAATATGGCCATTTGTTAATCGAGAAGCAAGTTCGAATTGTTTAGTTTTATCTGTATTGAACATCATTTCCAAATATTTCTTTTTTGCTTCTACTTCAGGCAATAAAGATGTATAAGAAAAAAAATGTTTCTTGTCGACTTCAACAAGTGCGGTATATCGAATGAATAAAATAGTTCCATATCATGGATTATTCTCTATGAGTTTGAGAGTGCTCTTGACTGATTTTAATCTCGATTTTGATACAAAATTGATCACAGAAACTCAAAATTCATCCGAAGACACCGTGTACAATGCGCTATTGAACGATGCAATGCAATTTTTTGTGCTACCCGTTACAACAGACGGCGGTCGACATACTACCAGCAGTATGCCTGGGTCGACGGGGTAGGAGGGACGATGATTTGAACTTCTGGGAGAGTACGCTAACAGATAAAATATTTGTATTCTTTCGACTGTGGCAAAATGTATCGAGACGATTTTACCGAAGTTAGAACGGAAGTTAAGATAGCCATACATTTCATTTCACACTTGATTCTTGAGCGTCCCATTTATAAGCCATTAGCTTCATACTGTAATCATTTGTCCAGTTTTGATACCTTGATCAATGCTCTCGCAAACCCCTCCAAAGACATGATGAAAACTATCTCTCATTTCATATGGAGCATGCTTAAACTGCGCTCATTCATCATCAATGAATAATGTTTTTATTGCTATATAGATGTTATTAGTCAGTAAGAAGAATGTAGTTGATTAGAAAATGTACCAAATGCTATTTTATTTAGTTAGAAGTTCAATTCGCTAAAATTGTAAAAGTTCATTATCTATATATTATTTGTTTGTTTTTCTCTCACTTTTTTTTTCCTGATCTAACCTGACTGAATGATAGGTATAAAGTAGAGGAAGTGGACGGCAAATACAGTGTTAGTGAATTTGTTTATAATGAGTTGAGGACAGTGCCGACTGGACACGAGCAAGTAATGTTTCATTTTGAGGGAAATGATGATATGGATACGAATATGGATGATTTAGTGTCGTCAGGTAAACCAGTCAATTCGATTCATTTTTGTTGGTTTGCTAAAGAATGACAGGCCAGGTAGCCTCGTGCTAGGAGCGCCAGTATCATATTCACAAATGATTGCTGGATCGTGGGTTCGATCCCCACGACTGCAAAAAATGTCAAAGAAAGTCTTCGGGATCACACGTTGAATGATGAGGCTCCCGTCATCGCTCGCACATATCTCTTGAAGATGGATGACGAATAAGAACAATTTCTCAGAATGATTGTGGATTGAAAGAAATATGGCACCTGCTCACACAACAGTCGATGATGAAAGTGAGTTGAAAGAAGTTCTATATCTGATAATAGGTACGCGCTCTGAGGGCACGAGGCCCTCAAAGTGCATTTAAACCTGTTTATTCTCATATTTAAACAAGGATATCATCATGATGGCCATTGGCACCAACAGGTGAAAACATTTCAACACTATTAATTATCAACTTCTATGAGTCCAAAACATGGTCCTTCGATTAATTACATGATTGAAATAGTATGGAGATGACTTTGAGCTTGCCTCTTTTTCTTTGAATTGTCAGTATAAACGAGTTAGTGATAGCAGTCGGGTCATTGGAAAGAAACTGTGACCATGACTATATTCACTATTCAGAGATAATACAAACTGTATATCTGATGATCGTTTTGAAAACCACTTATGGTCGACAATTCATTGGTATATAATTCACCTTGTTCAGGCTAGGATAGGAAAGAACGCACTCAATACTGAGAAAAATATTGAGTTGGGTGAAACGAGGCCAATAGATAGGTATGAACATGAATGATGAGAGATGAAGAATGAGTCGATTATTTATCAACGGAAAGGCAGAATGGGAACACTGGCCTCGAATTGCTTGATCTTTTTAAAATTCGATTTCATATACGATTCCTATCAAAGTAGCTTGTACGCTTGTAGTGATTGAGGTTGGTATCTTGTTCTTTAGATATCAAACGATCCAACTGACTATTTGGGTTCAGATTGATTCAGCTATCGAATGTTGGTAGACTACAATGTAATTCAAAAACGTCCCTATCTCTGAGAATATGATATGAATATTGGACTACTGGCCCGAACAGATGAATCCAATGAAATGCCACATTGAGCATTTTTTGCCTCGTATATGGAAATCTCATGAATTGATTCATTCACCAGTATCATTTTGTTTTCAATCTTATGATGGATGAAAACAGTTATCTGATCCTCAGTTCATTTTGGAATGATTCAAACACTGAATATATCGAGACAATATTTGCATTTTTGATGGATATCTATGAGAATCTGTAATCATGGTCATAAAACTGTATCGTGAATATATGGATGATAAGTTTTATGAATCAATCATTATACACACTCATTATCCATTTGACATTCCAACTGTATCGACAAGTTTTCGATTACTTTCAAGGACACAAAAGCTCTTTTAACAACCGCCAGATGCTTGGAATATGAGAAGTGCCGACTCGATTCTCCTCCTGCCGAAAGAGTCCTGGTTTTTCAATGGGAGCCATGTATACACATACCAATTTTCAAGGGAATTGATATCGTGTATGTGGGCAGATTGTGATGAAGGAATTGACCTTCAATATTCTGAATATCTGGTCTGGATCTCTCTCAAAAAGTTTATCATTGAGTATTTGATTCATAGTAAACATGAAAAAGGGTTATCAGTATCGTGAATTTGTGTTGACTACACCTTCTTGGTCAAAAGTGGGTATTTTTTCTCGTAGGTGAACTCTCGACCTTTCAGTTCCACTGGAGATGCCGTTACAGTTTCTGGGAGTTTATGGATAATATTCGAAAGAGATCACTGATGATATTCCAACTGATGACAATTTTTCCAAATCATATCTGAATTTCATGGAGAACATGAGAGAAGTATTCGAAATTAATACTCATGAACCTTGAAACAGAACAAATCTATCGAATTTGTTTAGTCAGGAAAATATCACAAGATTCAGCGAATTGTCCCTGATGTGAGTATCCTGTTATCAATTCCAGAAACAACTACAAGTGTGTAGCAGGGCGCAAACACAATATATCAATATTTCAGTCATTTGATTTGTAACATTGAAATTTCTGTTTATGTGTGTCCCAATGAAATTTTCAATCGTTTTTTGAAGCGATCTGACAAGGAAAAACTTTTAAGTCTGGAATCGAGTGTTGTGATCTGAGAGGTATCTGAAGAATCTCTCATTCAAAATGAACTCATATTGTTCTGAGAATTTCAGGCTGGATTTTGATAAGGACAGATAATATCAAGCATATATATTCGTTCGTTATTTAGACCAAGTGATTCTTCACAGAAAACTACCTAGTAACTGAATTACTCACCGAATATGCATCACAAGTTTCTATAGGCAGGAAATCCTCAGTACCATACACTGAATCTGCAGGTTGCGTGAATGGCGGCCGAGGAGGCGGGGGTATGAGAAATTTGGGAGGTGGTCCATGGCAATCGCACTCCGTCCCTGGTTCCGTACTCCACATGTTTGGATGCAAATCCTCGTTATCGCTGAGACTAGCACTGTCCATACACCTCTAGACGAGATTCTATAACAATAAGTGAGTAAAATCATTATAACGAGGATAATGAAGATAATGATATTAATGATGATGATAATAATCATAATTCCGATAATGATGATGATATTGACTCATATCATGGAAAATACTACACAGTATTCGTTTATTAACACATCTGAGTGACGAGAGTTGATAGAACATTGTGAAGCATGTTGAAAACGAGATCAGATTCATTAAGTGAATGTGTGAAGATTAGTTTGAAATCATTATTCTTTCTCCATGAATTTATATACCTCTTTTTCTTTCGAACATTTTCCTGAATAGAGTGTGCATTGACTTTCGATTATGAATCTTTATTTGGTATCTGATAATGAAATTTTGACAAACCATGTCGTACTGCCTACGGAAATCAGATACAAAATATGCTCAAAATACCACATTATCATTAGAAAGAGTCTGAATACGTATTTGGATGACTGAATTGCCATCCTCAGTAGCACTGAATAGAAAACATTGATGATGTGAGATTATAAACACGATTCAATGAACACGAACACTATCACAAGATATGATGAGCTCGACTACTTGTCTAACACTGAATGAATCATAATTCACACATGTCTGTGATAGCTGATCAGTGGACATAAGCACTTTTCACTGCGAGCAGAACCCTATCTGATTACCAGACGCTAGCACGGTCATTCTGCAATAGTGACGCTCTTGCCCAACAAACTCGGTTCAATCCCGACTAATGTTGTCTTTCAGACGTCGCTGAATCTTGCCAGAAAACTTAATTGTTGACCCATCATGTCACAAGACCTAGGTGTCAACCTACCTTACCGCAAGGCCTTGGTGTCAACCCCCGTTGCCACAAGGACTAGATCTGGTTATTTATAACTGCGTGCCAGTTCTGGGGATCAGGAATCTTGAAATGCAGTCAATAATTCCTCGAAAGAATTCTCTTTGTTTCTATCGATACACGATGTGCCATTATTTGCTTTTGATCTAGGGGGGGGGGGGTGGGTGAAACCTGCTCATGATGTGCCTAAAATATCTGTGACCTGGGTTTGTGAAATACTGTTGATGGAAAATGATCGATACTCAAGGCTTCGTATTGAACAGCAAAGGCGTATTAGAAATTACGCTGACCCCAAATATTATTGGTTTTCGCGGATTAATTTTTCTTCAGAAGGAATATTTTCAGATATAATAATGAAAATGAGAAAATAAATGAATATATATATATATATACATCCTACTATCTTTATTGCGTCTTTTCATAATCCATACTTATTGCGTCCACCAGAAAGAATAAAGTTGGATAGAAACTAGTCGAAGTATATCTCTCCTCACATAATTTCCAGCATTTACCTCTATTCAGAATTGCTCTATCTTTATTTTTAAGATATACGATTTATTTTCATTCAGCGTACCTTATTGCGTCATTCAATTTCACGAATGTTATTGCATCCAGCCATATATTTGGGGTTCATTCAACGATCTTTATTGCGTCCTGTATATACATTAGTGCGTCCAGCGATGTTGCCAGACTGAGGGTATATTTTTATTACATTAATAATACATTATTGCGTCTGACTTTTCATGATAAAGCAAGTCTTCAATACTAATGTAATATGGTTCGGTATTGATATAGAATAGAATAGAAGTAGAACAATCTGCAAATTTCTACCGTCATCGGATAACGATATGACATGTCACAAACGCATTTATTGTATCAAACGGCACCTCTGACAGCCTATATCCTAGGATGAATGAATAGAAAATGGCACTTTCCTGTGCGAAATCGAAATTATGCTATTTCCTCAATCTGGGTCAAATCATTGGCGCAGATTTTTGTGCTGCTGTCATTTCGCAATGACTTTCGTCACGTGATAATGAGTTTTAAGAAAATGATCCCCTCTTCGCGAATAGGGGCAGATAATATTTAGCTCATATTTGAAGATATCTGATGAACCATCGGTTCGATAAACTTGTTCATCTTCAGACAGGGGCAAAATGTTCTCGGAAATATTGGCGCTTCATTATAAACTTATATCTGGTTGAATCGCGCCAAGTTAAAATGTTCGCGAAGGGGCATCATCCCCGTGTGTTTGCATTAAGTTTCAACTCCTTAACACGTAGAAGTACAAGAAATCGTTGTGCTGAGAATTTGAGCCAACTTAAGGGGTAACACAGGTAGAGTTGCAGGTGGAATTTCCCAATCATTTTGCTCAGTTTAGTGAAACTATCCGATGGATGTCCATTGAATAGACATACATATGGACATGGATATATTGGATGTTTCAAAATGTCCAGATTCTATCTAATTGATATTCATTGTAAATCCATAGGCCGCAAGTTTGGATGTCCATTGGATGTCCATCCTGTACATCTACTGTGAAACTAATGTGATGAATTGTTTACCTATAAGACGAAAATTCTGAAACTACTAGATATGAATTGGACTACAGTTCACCAATTGTACAACAATGTGAATGAATTGACCTCATCATGTATACATTTTAAACAATATGAATCGAACTCTCCCCCTATGTGTTTGAATATATTTTCCCATAATTTGGTCTCAAGAGTTCTTTGCTCGTTGAACACGAAACATCTAACAATCAGACATGAAACTCTATACGTCACTATCTTGGATATTAATTATAAGAATCCGTCTTTTGGGACAAATAGGTCTCAGGCGGTGTTGTGTGACATATCAAAAGCATTCGACTGTGTTGATCATGGAATACTGCTGAGAAAGCTTCATCAGTATGGATGCAGAGGAATGACATACAGATGGTTCGAATCATATTTATCAGGAAGAAATCAAGTGGTCAAAACGACAGAACTCTCCAAGAAGAGAAATATTGATCATGGTGTTCCACAGGGATCTGTGATAGGACCTGTACTTTTCTTATTGTATGTCAACGACCTCACGAACATTGATATAACTGGAAAGTTCACTCTATTCGCAGATGATACCACTATATTATGGAATAGAAGGAATCCTCGAGATCTGCTTCAAATGATATCATCTGATTTGAAAAAGGTGGAAGATTGGTGTGACGCCAATATTCTGTCGTTCAATATATCTAAAACTAGTATAATATCATTCAGATCCTCCCTTGATGAAATCACATTTGGTGATAATTTTATTGAAAGTAGAAATGATAGTAAGTTTCTGGGATTGTTGATCGACAAAAATCTGAAATTTGGTAACCACGTCAAGATACTCACTGGTAAGATCTCTTCTGGATGTTATGCAGTGAGAGTGATTTCTAGGGAATAAGGATTCCATACTGCCAAGATGGTATATTATTCACTAATAGATTCCCAATTACGATATGGAATACCTTTCTGGGGAGTGTGCAGTCCAACGTCTTTAAAAACTCTGTTAATTCTACAGAAACGAGCGATAAGGTATTTGTGTAATGTCAAACCCCGAGATTCTTGCAGAATTTTATTTTCCAATAATAAAATATTGACAGTGATTGCGCAATTCATTCTGGAATCTGTTTGCCTGATAAATAAACACAAGTTGAAATTCACTACAACTCCCATCCATCATAACACGCGTAACAGAAATTTCAGTTTGAAACTTCCTCTACCCACAAGAGAGTTCATTAAAGATTCCATATACTATAATGGTGGAAAAATGTACAACCACTTGCCAGTTGATATTAGATCAGCAAGTCTGATTGACTGTCAATTCAGGGAGAAAGTCAAAAAGTTCCTCTCTGATAGACCCTATTACAGTTTGCAGGAATATTATAGTGATACGTTTGAGTTGTGATATTTTAGTATTTCAATGTGGTATTTATTTTGACTACATTTTGTCATTTATTTTTATGTCGTTATATTTCAACCTGTTTTTACAATATTATCTGACTTAGCTTTGTCAACAAGATTCTTCTTCAGACAATAAAGCATATTATTATTATTATTATTATTATTATTATTATGATTATTCAGATGATGAAATGAAATTATCAAATATATACACCTGACATCAGGTGGGCACTTCGAAGGCGCAAATTCATTACTGTATGGGAGATACCCTTCAGATTGTCAGCTGTCCATGACTTGACAACCAATGACATTCCGGAAACAACAGTCATTTGGTCTAGGCGATGTCATATGCATTCTTTCAGTCTACTAGATACATTATGGATATCGATAGAAAAGGTGTCACTAATTATACATTGGATGAGCATCCAGGTTTATCTGATGGATGTACAATTCATGCCGATGGATATCCAGAACTTTTTTCTTGGTATCCATTGTAATAGTGTCAGTGGTATTCCATTGGATAGGCATTTTGGTTCTTCTGATGGATGTTTATTTCTTGTCCATGGACATCCGAATCTTTCTTGGGTATGAAATGAGCATTTGATGAAATAAAATGTTCTCACATGCCTCTAGGAGATTTGTCATTTCGTTATCAGATGACGGTCGGAATTTGCCGACAGCTATTACAAGTTGAGTAAAAATTATAATTAAAAGAAAATTATTCCACCTGATGTTCCATATTATTTATTCGGTCATATCAAACTAATGAGTTTTTAGTAGATAAATGGCCCACAAAAGATATGAAAATGATCACTGCGGCATTCATTCTAGGAACTTCATCGCCAAAGATTACAGTGAAACGGTTTCGCAGTTATTTCGTACTCATATATTAGCACTGTGATATCTTTGTTGATGAAGAAAGCTGTCCAATTATGGTATCTCTGAAGATGATAATGAACCAACAAGCACATTGGCCATGTCCATATATCTCCTCATGGTGACATCTTCTCTTCAATAAATGGCTGTCGTCCTATATAAATTCTGGATGCAGATTTTTCGACTATTTCAATAACATATTTGTCCTGATATAGCATATTATGCCATTGGGACTTCGACGACAGATAGTAAATTGCTAGAATACTCGATAATGATAATACATTTTGCGGTTTCATCATTTGGAAGAGTGCCGATGAAATGCGGCCCTACATGGTTGCAAT